TCTGAGGATTTCCACTATACAGGAACTAGGAAATATATTTTTAGATGAATTTGTAGATTTACAGTAAGACTGATTTACTCCTTCCTATTCCATCCAGCATGACTTACAGTGGGATTTCACCACAGTAATATTGTGGGAAGAATACTAAGACACTCATGCTGTAACTCCGTTACAATGTTGACTCACTGGAGTGATTGCTTTCCTGCTGCTGCTGAGTAAATCAGGGACTAAGACAAAGCAGAAGTATCCCAGTCTCTGGAGTTTGATTCTGCTAGTTTGATTGTTAACTCTTACCTTTTTGGGATGTATTTTGTATGTCACATGAACATACAACTACTTTTCTTTAAAATACTAATGTGTTGAAAGCCTGTGTAATTAATGTAGCAGTAAATTAAGCATGGCTTTTAAACTAAGAAATTAAGGTACTCTTTTGTGTACAAATCTTTGTTATTTTGAGATTAAAACCCTTTTGAGATTGAAACCCTGAGTTATGTATGAGAAAATACCATTTCATAGCTTTGTATTATCCATTGATTTTTACTAAACAATTTTATTCTTATTCAAATTACTGCTTAGTTGTTACTGACCTGCTGCCTTCAGTTCATGCCCTTGTTCCTACTAAATAAAAACCAGGTAAATGTTCCTATGAAAATATGAAATTGTTTTCCTCTCCTACTCAATTGCTAATATGTTCGTTTATTTGTTGTTGCTTCTGGAAGATGTTCAAAGAGTATCTTTGTATTCCAGAAATGGCTAAGGATGTAACTTTCTGTCTAGTCAAAATTGACCTGATCTTACTCTCAGTCTGAACTCAGTGAATGGGTAACCCTCAGGGAGACAGAGCTGCAGCACTAAAGGCACGACTGCAGCACCTTGTAGCAAAGATGTTGTTTAAACCTGCATTATGTGGGCTTGGCAACTGTGGAATATACTTTATAGCTTGTAATGATACTCATACCAGTGTGTCTTATTTGAAGCTGCTCAGACTATAACTTTCCAAGGCACAACATGTACTCTTACCTATCTTTTGATGTGGTACAGACCTACCCAAACTTACCACCATCAAAGTGCTGGCAAGTATCAGCAACTCCAACTGAACTCCTGTGCACTAGGATCAATTCCCTTTCTACAAAATGTTTCAACTGTATTAGGCATATATGGCCTCTGAAGGCTGTCAGGATAAAATACTAATATTGCTAGAAACTTCCAAAAAAAGCGCTATTAGTATGTCATTAATACAGTTTTGTACCAGGCTAACTGTAGAATATGTGTGGTGTGTATTTTCAAGGAAAACAATCCCCATACGAGGGTATGCATGTCACCACTGTCTATGCAAAGCTCATGCATTAGGCTGTCTTGTTCACCTGGGACTGCCACAAGTGCTTTGAAACAATTATGTTTGACAACACAGGCAGAGAGCAGACAAAATGAACTATGATTCAAAAGTGCTTGCTTGATGCAAAGGTAAATCATGGTCAACTCTTTTGATCTCGGTTGCCTTAGCAGTGGGAAATGTTGAGAGACTTAACTGCATTAGTGTTCAGAAGCTTTGTTTAACTGGTATGTCAGTGGATACAAGTGCTGCTGTGTGTAAGACTTTCAGTGTACAGAGGTGCAACTGCCATAGGTAGTTGGATAACTTTGTTTCTTGGACAGCAACAAAGCTGATAAGCCTCATTCAGCACCAGGAATCCATTTCAAAACATAACAGATTTTCAGGTACTCTTTGAGACAGCCTGTGCCATGGTTCCTATTTAAATCAATAAATACAAGGATACTCTCTCTGTTTCTGTAGCTTGTCTCCTGTCTGAGCTTATCAGGTGAGTAATTTCATAATGCGTTTCCATCTGCCCATCCTTTAACAAGTGATAAGGAAAAAAATACTGAAAATATTCTCCAGCTTAGAGTTTCTCTGCTTAGACTTTTTACAAGAGTGCATTTAGGAGGGAAGCTGGTGTTCTCATCCACAGGTGTTCAATAACATAACTATTCTTTGTCTCCTTGGCTATCTTGTCCCTTAGGCTCTTCCTCTTAGGCATGACAGCACATTTGTTTCAGAGTAACTGGGTTGGGCCTTAAAGTTAACAATTTAAAGAAAAAATTCTAAAGACGATGTTTTCTTTAGCTGCTGTTGATATAAATATTGTGTTTTAGCATTTGATGGACACCTCTCAGGCCCACTTGACAAATTTCAAAGTCCATTTACTTTATGTGGTCAAAGCATCCCTAGCAAAGAACATTTTTTTCTTTGTCTAACCTTCCTTGTACACTGCAAGAACCAGCAAATGATATTTCTTGCAAGACACCCGTGAAACTCTCTTAAGTTAGATTTGAGCCTGTTTGCCTTTATGGGTAGAATGTAAAGAAGTTCTAATGCAGCTCTAAAAATCCAGCTTCCATGCCAATGAAGTACAATGACAATAAAGCTTTTCTTTTTTTTTTTTTTGGGGGGGGG